TGTCCAATAACAACAAAATTCAACAATTTCAGAATATTGCTCTTAGGAAAATTACTAATGCTTGTTTCGAATTACACTATACATAATGACCTGTCAATTAAAACCGTGGCTCTTATGAGTCAGGAATATCTCTTACAAAATTGGAAGTGTGTTCAATAATCTTTAAAATATTTATCATAAAGTTTATCTAAAGATTCAGTTGTAGAGTGCCCTTACGTAGGAGTTATCATAAGTGCCCCATGCATTTCTTTTTTTTGTAATTCAGAATTTTTAAAAATTGTTCAACAAATACATTTTATAAACACTTTTAGTAATATCTTGTTAACCTTGAAGTTTCATTAAGAAATTGTTTTAAAAGTAAGTTTATTTTCAACATTTTCGTTCATTTATTAAGTAGTATTAAGAAAAGCATGTTTTTAAAAATTATTTTTTTATTTATTTTATATGAGATTTCATTTACAAACTTGGTAAATACGTCAACAATTATTTGTTTGTATTAAGACTTTAAATCTATGAAATTATTGTAGGTATTATCATTATAATTATTATTAATTGTGTTACATTTTAATAGTATCGTATGAGTATGAGAGAAATCATTGGATATACAATTTAAAAATATCACATGCACAATATTGTAGACATAAAATAAGATAAAAACAATATCACGACGTCGTCGGCTGTTTATTATTATAATACAACACCCGGGTAGCGTGTGGGTTTCGACTAAAACTCAGCAGAAGTAATTTTTCAAAGAAATAATATATTACCTGTACAGATATGACTCTTTGACGCCGTGCTTGCTGAAAGTTATATATCTGTAGAGCGGTGACGGACATTGCACTACCTAATTGGCTAATTGAACAATAACTAATAATACATAACATTGTGTAATTGGCCCATTGGTCATTATTATTTGCATAAACAATATCTGTAGTAAATCCGAACAAATCTTTGCATGCAAATGTGATGTGGTTATGCTGGTTACTCGTTAAGGGCGTTAAGAGGACGCTACACCCGAATGCGCTGTAATTATTTTCTAAATTATTTTGTTCATAAAAATATTTGAAAAGCGGTCTAAAAAATGCAATGACCAATGAACATCTTAAAATATCTTTTAAGCTTATGATTTTATGAGTTATGACCATAAAAAATAAAATTCTCATGGAATGAGATAACAATATTATTATAAATGCAGTTGGTGAGAACTCTAAACTATTATTTAAATTATTATTACCTATTAATATATCCATAAATATTTTTAATAGGTAGATAATCTTTTTTTTATGACGTACATAATTTTGGATATTTTATTATTTTGTTTATAATTTATATTTGTATTTCTTATAAATGTATTTGTAACTTACTACCTGCTTATATCTAAACCATTAAGATACAATATACAAATATTAATATTGCAGTGATTTCAACTATTTAGCAATACTATAATATTATTTTCCAGGTATTAGTGGTACTGTAACGAACATGTCGTCATCGACATCGTACATTTAGCATTACTCCCTACGTTTAGCACGACTAATATGCTGAGTGTTAGTAATGGAAAATGTGTATATATGTATGAAATATATATTATGCTGACGCGATGTTTAGCTGACATCGTGTTAATAACCGACCGGGACTCCTGGTGGTAAATAGATAGAGGCAGTAGTGGCAGGTCGATAGTCGAGGGGAGAATTAAGAGTCAAGAGTCATAGTGAATGGTCGACAGTGGAAGTCGAGAGCTGACAACGACCTAAAGAGGACCTGTGGGCGGCCAGCTCAACCCACATCAGATATCATCACCCACGACACGTGGACACCCCATGGCCCGATCGGTAACCCTCAGTTAAGCTAATTTATAAGTACGTATATCTAATAACTATTATTTGATGTTCTTTATATTATAAGATTCGATAGTTAATAACAGTTACATATTTATAGGCCGTTATTTATGTCCCACTCCGGGGCATGGCAGAAACCTACGGGTGCCCCATTCGAAATTCTGCCAAAACACAAACACTCACGTGTAAACCCCCACCAACAAAAAACCCTACCATCACCACCTAACAACCTACTAACAGCTAATGGCCATAGATGCCGGGCTTAAGGATCAATAAAAAAAAAAATAAAAAAATATTTATATATATACGTTGAGTACTTTGCTTTACATAAGGTAACCCTGATCCCTAGTAATAATATCACACATCGAGGTCGAGTTTCCGAGACCTCGTTAATATACACCGATGGATGCGAGCCCCAGGTGAAGAGGAGACGTTACAGTACCTATATTAATACACTGCAGTAAGTTAAGCGAAACAGCAGAAAATTGATTGAAATGCCTACTTTGGTATTACTGAAAGTAGTATTATTATTATGAATAAAATTTATTAGTTTAGCAGTGTAGCTTTGTAGGTTCTAAAAGTGTTTTAAATGGTAAGTGATGAGTAGCCTGGATAAATTGCAATCTCCCGGGCTGAATTTGGTCCCCATTCCGTCAGAGGGTACAATGTAAAGATTTTGACAGTCATAATATTATATGCTATCGGCGGCCGAACACGACCCGACCAATGTTATAAACGACGTTTTTAACGTTTGAAATTACCTTTTTACTGGTAGATATAGATATGTATGTTTCAATTTATGTTATTATATATACTTATATAGCCAATAGCCATATAGGTATGTACAGTTGTAATTCTGCATTATTTATTGAGTAATTTTTGCAATTTTTACACTACTTTGTTAAGTTCAAAGCTGTATAATATGATAATAATAGTCATATGAGGTATACGATAATAAATATTATATAGGTTCCTATTAACCTAGTATTTAATAGATTATTCACAAAAAAATATTGTTGAACCAATAATAATAAAATGAATGTGTAATAAACAATTCATTACCTACCTATTGTTTTGGTAATCACGCCAACCATAGCAATCCTGCTTTATTTATCGAGTAATTATTTTCATTTTTACACGACACTGTTAAAGTATAAAGTTGTATATTATGTTTATAATAGTAATATACTCATATGAAATATACGATAATACATAATATAATATGCTCTATAGTGGTTTATGACTAGGTATACCCACTGAACTCTATACCTACATGGAAGGCGCATTGTCTATAATTCATGTATTGAAAAGTGTCCCCATATCGAGGGCTGCCATTTTGATTCCTTTAGTGTTCCTATCGATGATTTGTCATTGATAGAATTACTTATTAGCTTATCTTCTACGAAATATCAATGATATACCGGTGGATCGCATATTTCGCAGATAATTTGTATTGTTTATTCTATGAGAAGAATCAAAATGGCAGCCTACTAGGGTGGGACAGTTTTTTTTCCCAATGCGCGTTCCATAGTATACAGTTCAGTGGGTATAGGTACCTATTTAATAAATTATTGACAAAAATATTGTTGATTAATTGGTAATAACAATATAATAAAACATAGAAATTAAATGAATGTTTAATAAACAGTTCATTAATGTTTTGTTAACCACACCGTCCATTTTAATTCTAGAGTATGCAAGTTTAAAGACGAATTGCATACCTACTTGAAATGAATCTGGTTTCGTATTTCATATGCAAATCTCAACATTTTTATTTAATATTTATCGATAGCAGTAATAATTCACTGTAATTGCATAATATTCGCATGCGCACTTATCCATAAGTTAGTTTTGCAATGAGCCGTTTGCGGAAATTGGACTTTGAGTGATGTTTAAAAAAGTGTATTTAAACATTTAGACATATTGACTGATACAGCTACTGTCCATCACTTTTCTTCCTACATTATAATGTTATAAGCTTACAATATATATGTATTTTTAATTATAATTATACCTATGTAATATATTGTACTATACCCAATTTATTTTTGTAATAATTACATTTTAATATTAATAAAATAAAGTTATATTCAGCTTCAGACAGACGTCTGCTGCAGACACATAGACAATTTAATTAAATTGTAAATATTTTTTTTATAATCTGTACCTATCCTAAATAGTAAATTGTGTATTTTATAACATGCAAATAATCAGTGGAGTAACTATTGGTCAGATTATCAGGGGTTGAACAAAATAGCTCAGAGAACTGCAGCATATTTTATAATATGCCTGCAATTTAATAATATAATATTGTACATCATTTCCACATTATATTACAACTTAAGAGGACGCCACACCGAAAGCGAAACGTATACAACGGCCGAGAGAATGCGTTGTTAAGTGTTTTCGCGATGCGCAAGCACGCGACGTTTAAGCTACGCCCATTACTCGTAGTCGGCGACTGGCCCGTGGCCGACGATTTTGCTCCTTCGGGAGCGACGTTTATTATTTTCTCAACCTTCGTCTGTGATGGAGCGGGTAAATAATATACAACGCATACACGTATATTATGCCGCATTGCCGCCGTAATATTTTTAATATTCGCGCGTAACTACGTGGCTTGTATTTATTGCATTATTAATTACTTACTTCATAAAAAATATATTCAATTTTCAATATAGTTTAAATAATATCAAATTATTAACTGTAACCTAAACTAGTATTACAAAAATATCTATATTATATTAGTTTTTTAGTAGGCCAATTGAATATATTATTTTACGTTATACTGCTACCACATAAGTATATTTTTTAAATGACATTTTTTGCGTATTTCTAAACATTATAAATTGTTCATACATCTGTCATCTATTATTTATAAGGTCGTACTTTTCTACCTATCTTACTTATAATAATTTAAAACTACAATTTACTAATAACTAATAAGTAATAACAAATATATGAATTATTACGCGTGCATTCAATAATATATTTATTAGTTTGTAATTAGTAATTAATATATTATATATTTATATAGACACTGCAGGACAAGGAGGATAGTAGAATATTGTTCAAAATGTATTAAAAAAAAATCTCTGCTTTACTTTTTCATATCTTATTACAATCTTATATATTGCTAAATAGTAAATCTATAAAAAAAATTCATCTTTTAACATTTTTTTTTTTAATTTGTCGTTGCAGATGTTGAGCGTTTAAAATATGTAGTGGCTCTCTAATATCAGTAATCAACAACCTTTTCCCATAAAGGGGGTCTATAATTTCGGGCAACAAGCAATCCAAATAAAATCTAAAACAAATAAAATATTAATATCATAGACAGTAGACGCCCATGTATTACGCATATGAATAAACAATAACTATAGGTTCACTTTAATACTACTTATATATCAATTATTTCTTACGACTGAAGTTTTTTGACCATTTTCCATTCCCAAAAGGAAATATCAAAATGTATTTCTTCGACATTCATCCAATTTTTCGTGTAAATTACGAAATAACACAAATTTCTTTGTGTTATCCTTAACTGACCAATTACTTGAAAGTAATAGGCATGGTCTTTTTTTAACACAATTTTTCCTTCTTTAACCGAACAATATGGCAACTATAACATATTTCCCAAATTTTAATACAAATTTGTTTACGTATAGGCATGCTTGTATTATAATTTAATTGCATTATACAAACCAATTTTTTTTCCATCGCTTCAATAGCACTGATTGTATCTTTGGCGGCGTATGGACATTTGATCTCCAAAACGAAATGTTCACCAACTAGTCCATCTATAAGATAATTACATTTTGATTTAAATACAATTAAAGAAACATTAATTAATATTTATATACATAATATGTCCATATTATATAAATAATTAAACACCTGGGCTAGCTGCTAAGTATGGATACTCTCGATCGATAAACAAACCACACAACTGGACGGAAACTTGAAGTAATGCTTCAAAACTCGACCTGGCTAGGGGTTCGATTTCTATACCGTAAGCCATTGATTTGCACATAGCAGATGGTTTGTACAGCATTCCATGGACTTTTATCTTACAGCTTGTAGAATCTCTCATTTTGCATATCTCGCCGAATTTTGAAGCTGTCAAACGTACTCGCCTTTCTTTATACCATATCTCACTATGGCTTTGATCCCTAGTAACTTTTTCAATTTCATATCGGTTCACATCAGTGAGCTTTTGTAAAAATAAATTTTTTTTTTCCAAAAAATGTTCATTATTTAAACTGAGGTTATCGTCTAAAGGCTCAGCTAAACCATAGTTGTTATCAGGTGCGCTACATTTATACTTGGGTTTTGTTCGTACAATTCCAGAACTAAAAAGTTTTCGTCTTCTATTGTTGGTATTATTCCTAATTCTAGTAATATTAGTTGAATATTTATTACCGAATTTTCCTATTAAAAATACAATGAATTATAATTAATATACTAAATATAATAAAACTATTACTATAACAAATAGTTAGTAAGTCAACAGTATAAATAGTTTATAGTATGCCATATTCGGCGAGTATAACGTATTAAAAAAAAAAATTGTAGAGTACCTACTATATAATTTACCTGGACTTTTGGAAATAATTGTTTTTTGTACAGCACGTATATAATTATGAGAGTTATATGCCACAACTGCAGCTTCGACCCGTGTTTTATAATTATTCCCCTGTGTAAAATTGATCCGTTTTCCGCCAATGTGCTTGTTTATGAGACTGTTGAATTGTTCACACGGGTTGTTATCTGTGTTTTCAATCAAGCTCTCAGTATTTGCCGCTAGTCTATAAACAATTTTTCTAATTTCAGCCATGATACCAGTTTCTATAGCTTCAGGTACGAAGTTTCTTTCTCCAACTTTTGGCCCGGTACAAAAGTAGTTAGCACAGTTATCATGCTGTCCAAGACGATGGTATGGGCTGTTTGTAATATCTTTTCTAAGGTCTAAAATAAAATATAAGTAGGTACATTTTAAATAACATAACAGACAATTATTTATAAAATGTAACCTAACTATACCTCACAATCATTATTATTTATAAATTAATAATATATAACATGCAATTAACTAAGTAATTAGGTATGATTGTTGGAAAAAAAAAAACTAGAAAAATACAAATAATAGTAATTAAACTAAACTTACAAACCTCTTATTTTTTGTAGAAGTGGTGAATTTTCATTTAAATGATGTTCAATAGCCTTAGTTATATCTGAACGAAAACGTAAAATATTAGTAGTGATAAATTTACGAATTATAGCTGGATATTCAATTTTTTTCGAGAGAGCTGACATTTTCATTCCGTAGTTACGGAGGAGATGATTTCTACATTCAATTTTTTGTATTTTAAACTCTGGTCCATAAGGCATTACTTCATTTAGTTTATTAGTGACACTGCTGTCACCGTCGCCTGAAATACATATTATAAAAATATTTTAAAACGAGGTGGGTTATTTTTTTGTCTATACCCTTTTAAAGTTTTCTCCCGATCTTTTACACAAACTAATGATTAATTTGGCTTTTTCTTAAAAAAAATATAACAATCCTATATTTTACTGGCTGAAGTTAATTATTGCTTACCGATAAGTTTATTATACTTTAGTCCATGCATATTCAAACTATTGGAAAACCCTTCCAATATACTATCCGCTTCCATGGCGGTGGATGGCTTTTTCCAATTAAGGAAACAAACGTGAACAGGTGGCTCAGTTTTTCTGTTTGTTGCTCGCTGACAAACAGAACAGTAACTATTACGCACACCAACAAATAGTACTTTTTTTGTGTTGAATCCAATAATAGTCGCCTGAAATAAAATTGAATTAGATTTATTTGAAAAATTTTTTTTTTTACATTTTTTACCGCTCCAGAAAATGAATTATATTTTGTTTTATATGATCTCTTTGACCATTGGCCATCAGCAATAACAGTACACATGGGTATACCATTTTCATCGACATTTCCATTCTTAATAGCTATTTCCCTTTCTTCTTTACCAGCTTTAGTGATCTCATCAATAGCAGTATCTTGCACTGAACTGCTTACAGTCGATAAATGACTGATGTATGAAGTAGACGAGATAAATGGTAATTCGATTGAAGCCGATAATTCGGCGAGTTGTGTTTGGCCTATTCCTTTATAATAATAAAAATTTTAGTTAGATTTAAAAAAAATTACCCAATAATAAAATGTACATACCAATAGCTAAGCTACCATTTACTATAGCTTTATTTATGGGCAAGTAAGGTGCAGTATTATTTAACATTTCTGATGTAATTTTTGAAATAATGTTACACATTTTACATTTAAATGTAAAGACAGACATATACCCTTTACGAGTTTCTGATATAAATACCATGTCCACAAATGAGCAGTTGAATGGTTCATGTCGGATTTTTTTAATTTGCTCGAATAAATGATTTATATCCACAATTCGTCGACCTTCGAGGCGTCTAAATTTATAAATAAATACTAAAATAAATAATGTTATAAAACATAATACTTTTATTTTATTATACTCAAGAACGACGGATTCCTCATCATTAGTTGATTCTACTAACAAATTATGATCAATAAAATCATCTGAACAAGGTTCAGAAATTTCAAAATGCATTTGTTTATCTGTATTCGTTGATACTGGTGTACTATTTGATACAGGAAAAAATGCACTAGTTCCCATGTCCGGTATAGTAATTTCAGGCATTGTGACATTTGAACTGCAAATATTAAGGTCATATTTTTGGTATTTTATTGCACCATTTTCAATTGTGCATCTCAAAGTTTAAAAATAATTTCAAGTCAAATTTAAAAAAAAATTACATAATTAATTTTTAACTCAACACAACTACTATTCAACATATTTTTTTTAAAACATACGAGTGTAACACCAAGTGGACAACCTGGTATTAAATTTTCATTTCTTAGCTTTTAATAAAAAATTGTTTATACATTTTTAACTACAGAATAGGTTAGGAATCGCCGGCATGTGTTGTATACTTGTATCCGTCTCACAATTAATATTCAACCTATGGTTGAATGGATTCAACCATATCGTTATCTAAAATTAATTTCAGAGTCCCTCCACAGGATCCATGTGACCATGTTACACAATATCTTCTTTTCCATTTTCTATTCTGGTTTCCTACTTCAACTACTTAGCCAATGCTACTTTATCTCACCTGATGAGTGTACAATAAAATATGAAGAACCTAATTTTGTCTCTTCTTGGCAATTAGCAATCATTTCATTATATTTTATCTTCTTTAGTTATAATTTATTATATTTCTTATTAGGTACCTATTTAATTCTCATATTCACATTATTATTGTTATCGTTATAAACTTGTTCATCGTATTGTTATTTTATTTTGCGTCTTGGCCTGTCTTGTTAAAAAAATAAAATGTTGAAAGATAATTAGCCTATTATCAAGATCAAATTTAATATAGTATAAAGAATATTATCTATCTTTGTTTCTACATTGGTTTTATTTATTTGGTATACCTATTTTAATTTTTAAGCAAGTTATGATCATTTTCATATCGTAATATTTTAAATATTATTTACTCATAATAAGTGAAAACTAAAAAAGGTGGGCAAGTGGGTGTCGCTCTGCTGTACAGTAGGTTACAAGTGGGTCACTGTATAATGGATGGTATTAAATTTGAATTCAATGATATAATATCATTGTATAAGAAAAACGATTCTGAGCGGTGACGGTATGTCAGTGTATGTATGAGACATATTATATACTTATCTATGGTATTAAAAAAATTGAACTATAATGAATTCCAAATTAATCATATCACAATATCCATTAGGTACTTATAACGCGTTATACATCAACAAAAACCGTGATACTATCATAATTCATAGATGTATAATAGTACACTTTAGAAGTTTCAAGTACCCACGAATAATATTATTCAATCACAACAAAATAACTAAAATAGTTATTCTAGGTTTTTTAATATGTAATTTCGTCCAAATTTGAATTTAAAATGTCTGTAAAAAATAACTGTGTTCATATATTTTTTAGATTTTTTGGTTATAGTATGAACTATTTATGAGAACCTTTGTGTTGAATTTGTAATCCTTAGCTATAAAAACTGTACATTTTATAATTTATTAATTACAATGATTGATAATTTTCGAGATTTTGATAAATTTTCTCAAAATTTGATCTTTAAATGCTTATAAAAAAAAACTGTGCCTATGTATTTTTAATATTTTTCAACTGCTATTGTAACAATATATCAGGAGCCTTGTATTAAATTTTTACACTTTTTGGCCCAACAGATAAAACTTTATTGATATTTATAGAAAAAAAAAACTAAAAAAAATTGAAAGCTGTAAATGTCCATAAACAGCTCAAAAAGAGTCAAAATATTTTCAAAATTGTATGGTGTATAGGAAATGCTAATATAAACATTCAGTGAAATTTTCATGTATCTACAGTTATTCGTTTTTAAATTACAACAAAATAAGGAAATCGCTACATAAGAAATCGAGTGAATATCCAATGTTGTAAAAATTTGAATTTCAAATGCTCATAAAAATTTAATTTGACTGTCCGGTAGAGATTTTTTTATTGATAAAGGTAGACAAACTTATGAGTAATCTTGTATCACATTTTCAAATCTTAGATTTAAAAAGAAAAATTTTTACGAATTCTTAACTCAAAATAATTTGCCAATTTTCGTGTTTTTTTCATATTTTCTCAATTTTTGAACTTTAAATGCTTATAAAAAAAAACTGTGACTAACGATTTTTAATATTTATCATCTGCATTTGAAACAAGATACTAATTACTAGGAGCCTTGTATTAAATTTTCAAGTATTTCTACTCAACAAACAAAGTTTAATTGATATTTAAAGAAAAAAAACTAAAAAAAAATGGAAAATGAAAATGTCCCTAAACAGTTCAAAATAAATCAAAATATTTTGAAAATGTTATCGTGTACATAAAAGGCAAATATAAACAACCAGTCAAAATAGGTTAGGTTAGTATTTTATTTATTTTAAAATGTTTGATAAGTTTTTATCACGTTTGTAGAATAAGTAGTATTCACCTATAATGATTTTAACTATATAGTTCATGAAAAAATAAAATTAATATGGATTTTTTTCACGATTTTTTGTAAAAATATGATATTTAAATGCATTTACCTATAACAAAAACTGTGACTCACGAATTTTGTTTTTGTTCAATAACAAAAACGATAAGTAAATTTTATGAGAACGATTGCATTAATTATTAAAGATTTTTTGACAGACAAATTGTATTATAGAAATTTCTAGAAAGAACAAAAAAAGTAGAAAATTTCGACTGTCTATAAATAGCTCAAAAATAGTCAAAATAAATATCTTTAAAAATAGAAAGTATAAAACACCATTACGCTTAGAATCGTTTGCGTTGTCCTTTAAAATATAAATAGTATTTAAACACATAATAGTAATAACTTACCCCGAGAAAGAATCTACTAGTTTATCATTTGAGTCATCTGTCACAGTAATACTATTATTATTACATTGAGACTCAACAGTTTCTTCTGTTTGTTCAATGTCCATTCTAGTCGATATAGATTTTCTATAAATTATTTTTAAAATAAAATTGTATAAAATATGACATATTTGGTAAAATGTCTACATTTTAAATTGTAATAAAGCTCAATTAGAAAATTACTTACAACCCTTTTTTATTTTTTAAATCTTTCATACGTTGACGGTTTTTTTAACTGTCCTTTTTTTTGCACGGAATTTTTTGGGTGACATTTTAATATTTATCACAAAATATTATACAAAATGAAACACTCACAAAAATTCAATTTTTCAACAAACAATAATAATTACACAGTGTTGGCTGTTGAAGCGCTAGACAGACATGTAGTTGTCGCAGGGGCGAGTCGCAGCAGTAGATTATACTATTATAAATTATAATATTGGCAGTAGCCAGTCACCAAAATTAAATTATTTCATATCGAAGCTATTCCTGGAAACTTTTACGGGCGCGCTGATTACCGATAACCATAGCGCGCTAATTGCAGTCTATCATGGTGGGGGAAATCGTATTCGATGTCGCAAGTCGCAACGACCGTAGGGCAGCAGCACACTACAGTTAACAATATTCAATGAAATTGAAATCTTTACGCAAAAATTGTTTCGCGCGGGAAAGAACCACAAAAGCTACAGTCATAACTAAGTAACGAAATTTTCACACTACAAACAAGAGAACTTTGACCGTGCAACCTCGTTTTTATTTTTTCGATATCATTTCTACAAAAAAAGTTATTCAAGTCTGAAAAACACAAAAATAATGTTTTTTAAAACAATAAGAACTTTTTTTTAAGAAGCGATATCGAAAAATTAAAAACGAGGTTGCACAGTCCATGGTCTACTTATTATTTGATGAAAATTTCGTTTCTTAGTTATGGCTGTAGCCTTCTCGGCTCTTTCCCGCGCAAAACGGTTTTTACGGACGAATTTATACATGTGTAGCGTCCTGTTAATTAAGTCGGAAATCGTTATCATCTGTAAACCTACATTAAAATATGATAGTACCTATTATATGTATAATAATTGAGGCACGGATGTTGTTGCATTTGCAATATTTTTCTTCTATTGTTCCAATTTTTTGCCAAGTAACTTTTAAATGCGTTTGATAATATGACGTAGGTACCTGTTTACGAATTTAAGTCTAAAAATTGTAAGTGCAGTTTTTGGAATTGTATTGGAATTTTGTTGAATTTATTCATTGATTTAAAACAATTTTAACAATTATGTTCACTTGTGAAGTTTACCATGGTTTTTACTTATTGACTCTAAATTATATCTAAGAACGTTTGAATATTCCAATTTAAAACAAACACTTATAATATATAGTCTAACACTCTAATGATGTTTAACGTATGGCTTCAAAGTTTAGATCAATCTTAAAATAACATGTAAAATATTATTTTCAATTTTATAATTTAAATATTATTCTAAATATTTTCTTAAAAAGAAAGATGATAATAAATGAAATGATTATTTATTAAATATATATTCAAAATATACTGTGAACTGTAAAGTAAAAATAGGTGGACAAAACGATTCTGAGAGGTTAGTGTAGTTCTTATGATATTATTTATTTTTTTCTGGTGTTAATCGTTAGAAATTAAAATTCACTAAAAAATGCAAAGACCAATGAACATCTTAAAATATCTTTTATGCTTATGACCATAAAAAATAAAATTCTCATGGAATGAGATAACAATATTATTATAAATGCAGTTGGTGAGAATTCTAATCTATTATTTAAATCACTATTACCAATAAATACATATATAAATATTTTTAATAGGTAGATAATCTGTTTTTTATGACGTACACAATTTTTGATATTTTGATCATCATGGATTCAATCACGCGTGGTTTAAAGGATGTTAAAAGACCTTCGTGATTATTTCCAATTTTCAAAGCTTAATAATGTACCAGTCGTATCCGAAATTTGTTCAATCTACCACTTAGAGGATGGGCCAGCCATCTTAGTAGATTGAACAAATTTTGGATACGAGCACAGTATTTTAAACTCATCACTATGGGTCAATCACTGACATCAGTATCTACGAAAATAATTAGAGCTTACCATTTTCCATTAATTTCTTTACTAACTGTAAGTGTTGAGAAAATTTATACAAAAAACGATTAATAATAATAAAACGAAATATTACCATACTATGGTAGACACTGAGGAAATCTTTCAAAAAAGGAACACCTTGGGCTGGTGCAAAAATCTCTACATTTTTCGTGTCACGTGTCTAACATAATTTTGTTGTATAAATAGGTGTTAATATCTATTCTCAATACTGGATACAATAATTTTAAACGTTTTAGATTCTCAGTGGAGCGAGGAAGCCAGTGGTTTTACAATGGTGTTTTTTTTATATGTATTTTTTTTTTATCCTGTTTACAAAATTTCTACCAGAGGGAGTTGTGCTCCGAAATCAATATAATATACTAATATAGTATCTTATATCTTTTAGAAAATTGGATCAAAATGGTACTTTAAAGCAGTCATTTTTCTATTTCCTCAATATTTATTTAATGACACAAAAAAACGCCAAAAATGGGATTTTAATTTCTAACACTTTGTGTATCACCATAGAAACGAATAAAAATATAAATAAAAATAAGGATTTTAGTTATTTTGTTGTAATTTATAATATTAATTCAACTTACATGCTATAACAAAATATAAAATATCCAGACTGACAAACCGTCTCCGCTCAGAATCGTTTTTCGTATACAATGTTATGATATTATTTAATTCAATTTTAATACAATCCATTATATAGTGACCAACTTGTAACCTATTTTACAGCAGAGCGACATCCACTTACCCGTTATATTTTATTTTTTTTTTTGGTTGGTTTGTTTTTAAAATTAACTCATAAGTATTTTTTAATAATTTGTGAAATGTATAATACCCTATAGTACCTATAATGAACATAAAATATATAACATTTTCAACTAAGCACCGATTTTATTTCAAAATTATTATAAGTTATACAATTTCATTACACCACAGCTACTTATAGGCATTTCCTATGTCGTATATGTATTAAGTTTTAATTCTTAGATACCTATACATATACCTCCCATGGTCTTACCATATCTGCCTCATAAGCCATGCAGCCTAGTTGTTTATTATCTTTGGTTTTTATCTTGAGTACAAATTTATATTTTCCATAAAAGTATACTTTAGGAAAATTGTTGTCTTCAAAAAGTGCTGTGTCATAACCAGTTGATGCGTAGTATAAGTACCCTGTAAATATTCAATAATAATGACGGATGATAATTTTTCTCTCGATCAAACAGATAGTTTATATGTTTTTATATTTGAATATATTAAATTTTACTAATTATAATATAATAATTTCATACTATTTATATTTACCACATTTGTAAATATTATATATTACCATTAGTATTGGACAGTTTCCAGATGGAACATTAAAAGCTTTTGTAAATGTATACCAAGCATTTCCTGCGATGAATTTTGCTTTAGAACAGGCTTTATTGGTTACGTAAACAATAGAATATGGTTTCCAACCTCCAGTTAAACTCCAAGATGCAGCATTTACATCAAACTAGGTACACGAAAATGTAAAAACTCATCCAATATTATAGTGTGTAGTGCAACATTTTAAGGTTTAATAGTTAATTGAAATCGAATATTTAAAAAGTCATATTTTCGTAGTTATTATATATTATAACTTAGTATGTGCTTTTGGCTGAAATTAATTAATAATTATCGAAAAAAAAATTAATATAATTTGGATTCTTAGACCTAAATAAGATTTTCACATTTAACATTTATTACCTAATCTAACCTAACCTGACTGATTTTTGTCTGGTTTAGTCGTACTGATCATATTCATCGATTAAAATAGTTTTTGTGGTCTAATTGTCCATTGTTGTATTTATCTTAACAAATTAAGAGCTATAGCCAGATGCTTAAGCCTTAAATAGAAAAGTTTAGACGCTCCTGAGTTTGATTAATATATACAAGAGAGATGTAGGTACTGGAGTATAAAATAAATACAATTATTTATACTAAATTCGTGAATGCAGTATGATTACATTAATATACACTGCGCAAACATTCAAAGTAAACCCAAATTTACACAAAAAGAGAATAGCAGTATTCTTAATAAGTATCGTAGTATCGTAAATTATCGTTATTATAAATAGAGTTCCATTGCTAACCAACATATTATCTTTTTTTTTTAAATGAACTTACTTTTAACAAATCATCAAAAGGTACTCCTGCAGTCCTGCTGTAAAATTACCCCTGTATTCTGTAATATTGGATCACTTTTTATTCAAATATACACGCGCTTGCATCTGTAGATGGGTGGTGTTCTCACATTGGCGAATTGCGTCGACTACCAATCGATATTTTCCCTGTAATTAGAAAATGTATGTATAATAATTAAAACATAACTCAAATTATCAATAATCTTTAACATTCGATTTGTAATATGTCACTTTTATAAAAATTCGAGAACTTTTTAACTTACCACAGGTAAGTTAGGCCTAAATAAGGATTGTGCGTTTGAGACAAAAATAAAACCAAAACAAATATACAATTTTATTAGAATCATTTTTATATAACACTTATGTCTTATAATATTATATGATCAACCGATGTTGAGTTTGAATGTAAGTGAGAGTTAAATAAAGTAACTAAGTATAATATGTTATTGGTACAGTTAAAAATTATTAATGTAGATTATTTTACATGAGTAATAGTCCCAACTGACAGATTGCTAAATATCATATAATTGTTATACCAATGTAAAATATACCAGTATGGTTTTGTATTTGAGAACTGTATAATCATTATTTTATGAAGTTATTAAAATAACACAATGTTGTAATACTTAAAACACGACTATTAATAAAAAAACGTCATAAAAAAAATGAAATAGCTTACCTATATAATACAACAAAATTGGTTGTAATTATTATCATCCTTCCTCTTCATTTTAGATTCTGATTTCTGATTTTTTTTAATTTAAGCTGAG